CTCTCTCTCTCTCTCTCTCTCTCTCTCTCTCTCTCTCTCTCTCTCTCTCTCTCTCTCTAAAAGAGACATGGAATTAAAAAAGGTGCAATGAAATGATTTTTAATGGAAAATTTGTATATCTTTAATAATAATTTCTCTTTCTGAACTCATGAGCGGCTTACAGCAATTCTGCTTGAAATAATGTATTTGGATATACTGGAGAATTGAAAATATAGAATATTATCTTTAATAATATACACAATATAACGGAACATATGTGTGCGTGTCTATGTGTATGTATACGTGTTGTGTGTGTGTGTGTGTGTGTACATTTGTGATTACAATGTTACAAAGCCGTATGCAGTCTTGCGCACTCTAAAATATAACATACTCTAAATAAAAATAATTCTTAATCATGATCTGAATGAAACGACTGTCATCAAAGTGGTTCACAATTTTCGTTTGTATGAAACGACGAGAAAGAAAAAAGAAATAGAAAATAAGGAACGACATAGTACTAGTAAAAAAGATGTAACTGTTCTGTCTCTGAGAAACACAATGACCGCATCTAAAGTATGTACACAGTAGGATATACCGCGGGTGGGGAGTGTTAAAACTAACCACCTGAAAGAACGTCACTAAGTAGAATGGTATCACTAAAGAGAGAATATATATATATGTGTGTGTGCGCGTGTGTGTGTATGTATACATATATATATATATATATATATAATACTATGATGCATGTTAAATACTATTCTACGTACACAAATAATATTTTTATACACAATGTACACATCGGTAGAACGAGATATCGGATCGTGAGATCGATAAATGACCACCGTTGAAATCTAAGCCGAAATACAGCCTCTTTCTTCTTCGCCTTCTTCGTTTTCCAGGTTTTCAGCTGTTCTTCAACCACCGCCCAAAGTGCCCGCGGCCGGACTTGACACGCTTCTTCGGTGGCTTGGGATTCGATCGCGAGCCAACAGAACTTCTCAACCGTCTATTACTCGCCACCGTCACCGTCGACAGTATACCGTGATCTATGTCTATTTGATCGTCGATCTTCATCATTCGTACGACTGGTTGAAACTCGATGCTAGAACGACGCTGCTCAAGCTCACTGGACGATATTATCGACGGACTGATGCGCTCCGACAAGGCGCATTGATCTATCGATGGGTTGGACGATTCCTGGATGTTATCTGACGATGAAATGGCTTCACTTTTACGCTTTACGCTGCCGCGCACCCCAGAGCTTGGTGGCTGTTTCTTGTTACACGACGTAATACTCAAGTAGGCATCCTTTTTACAATTCTCGTCCTCGTATATCATCCCGACGCGATTGGACGACAAATTGGCATTGTTGCGGGTAACGGTCGTTCTCGATTGACGTTTTTTAGAGTAAATCCGCTTTCGTGAGCCTATCCGACCGCGCCTCGTCGTGGCGAATACGATACCGTGACGACGTTTCAACAATTCCCCCGTGTCGGACGAGTTCTCCTCACAATTGCCGCCGCGTAGCTGCCGCTTCGGCAGCGATAACTCAGAATTAGAATTGTGGTGTTTCTTAGGAACTATACCGGTCTCCTCTTTTCTACACTGTAACTGCAGATTGTCCTGATTCTCGATCTCCGTGTCCCGTAATTCACAGCTATCGACACTAGTAACGGTGACATGTTCGCGTTGTCGTTGCTTTTTAATAGGCGACGATTTCGCGATCAAGTTCTCGGTGATCATATTGACATCCTTTCTGCTTAACAAATTCTTCTGGTTCTCGTGATTCTCATCGTTGCCTGAATCATTCTCCAAGACCTCCTTAATTTCCGATAAATCTTTTCTACATGGATAATCTTTGTTCGACAGATGAGTTTTATTCGTTCCATCATCACAGTCGTTTTCCGAGACGGACTCTTTATAGTTGTCCGTACTCGCTGATAGGCCCGTATTGTCATTACTGACAGCCTCTATGTTTTTGTCCTTTTTCGCGAATGTCTCGTGATACGATTTTTTAGATGTAGTGCAGGTTTCCAGCGAAGCGTTGTCATCATTTTTTTGACTGATACCTAATCGTTCTGCAACCATCGGTAATGTGTTGTTCGTCGACGTTGTTACCGCGTGAGAATCTATCTTTTCTGTGCTCAACGTGTGACGTCTAGAAAAATCAGGATAGAACTTCTTCTCCGTCAATGATTCCTGGTCGCAATCCGTCAATATTTTGCTGTTTAGTTGTATTTTCTTTTTCATCTTGTTACCGACCGGCCAACCGGTCCGATTTTTTCTTCGTTTCCGTCGTTTCAACGGAATGTCCACGTTTACCTCACCACATTCTGAACTAGCACACGATGAATTATTTTCCAGACAGTTGGTAATGTCTTGACAATTGTCGAGCAATTCCAGTAGATTCGGCGGTGCACCCTTTGGTAAGTTCGTTTGACAAAAACTATCAGCTTGCGCTAAATCGACATCGGGTTCAAACGAGTCGTCCAACTCGGTCATACCTTTCGCACACAACATCTCGTCGATCGTCTTCGCAATCTCTTTTATCTCCTCGTCCACATCCAATTTGAGATCTGGTTTTTGTTCAAGCTTGGGTGTATTTATACGCGATCTGACAGGCGATGATTCTTCTATCGTAGACAGAGTCGATTGTTGTTCCTTTTTACGGATTATGGTAGACATAATCGCCAACGTGGATGCATGACAACGTGGACTCTTTCTTGGCGAGCGTCCCACACATCCTATACCGCGACCACGGCCTCTTCTCCTACCGTTCTCGATTCTGCTCTGTGCTTTCGTTAGCGTTTCGTGAAAATTTTCAATCTCATATGGCAGAAGAAATGGCTTCATCTCCTCGCATTCGCTGAAGCAATGCCAAAATTCGGCGCCTGTGTCCTGACGCTGATAAGTTTGATACCACGGCTCAGACATAGGTATCGACTCAAAAGAGAACTGCATCTTCTCGATCTCTGCCGATGGTTTGGACGGATAAATTTTCTGGACAACGCCGTCGGCCTGCAATTTACAATCTTCCGGTTCATGCGTCGATCTCTTCCCGTGTTCCTTACCACTATCCACGGCAATGTCTTTAACACCAGTCAATGGAGCCTGGTACCTTAACCTGCTGCCAGGCGTTTCGAATTTGTAGTAATCGGTATTGTCCTTGATGAATGCTTCGGCCTGTGTGCGTCTTCTTTTCCTTGCTCTGCCTAGATGCATGGAATCCTGCGAGTCTTCTTCGATAATCTCTTGCTTAATGGAACTGGAATTTAACGATGAATTCAACGATATAGATGAATTGACAGTGTCGTTAGGCTCGCTTTCCGTATCTCTTGGTAGTACGCTACTCTGCTCGCTGTCACTGGTTCGCTCGCTGGAATCGTCTCGCTTTGGCTCGCCAAACATGAAGGATTCCGCCTCATCACTCAACAAAGATAATTCTGATTTCCTCACACGCTTAAATCGCACTACCACCGGCTTTTCATTGGATGGCGCTTCCTTCTTCTCTTCGCTCTCCCCGTCTTTCAATGTCGCATGTTGCGAATTACCGCCTGATACCGCGCTCGATCGTAGCTTGTTACCCAATACTTCCACTTTATAATAGGCACGATTATCCTCTATCAAACGTTCTTCCACCGATAGTCGAGCTCGACATCGACCTCTGATATTTCTGCCACCCCTCCGATTCACACGCGGATGCTTGGACTTCATGTGACGAGTATTCTCTCCTTGCGACATTTTCAGGTCCCTCTGTTCACTCTTGTCGTTATGCCCATTGCAAACAATCTCATTTGCATCATTCAACGAAAACTTTCTCGCATCAGTTGTCATCTTTTCCGCTTGCAACGCACAATTGTCTCTCTGAAACGGATCGTCTTTGCTTCCAACAATGTAATTATCAACTACATCGACCTCTTTTATCGTACATTCCACGACACTTACGTTTTCATCACCATTATATTCGTTTTTATTATTAAGATAATCTGGATCCTCCGATATGTGACGCGAATTTACAATACCATTTTGCGCATTTCTATGTACGACCGATTGTAATTTTGGTGGATCCAGATTACTATGTTTATTATTGATATTATCTTCCTTACTGTTATAAAATTCGG